ATGCACATTTTGTTTCATTCGTTAACATTCTCTCAATGCAGCAATACTCATCCTACTTCCTGTGTTTCTCCCCTCCCCCCATCCTTCTCTTCTAAGCCTTTTAAACGTTGTCCTTAGACAAGTGCTGTCGCTTGACTACACTTTTCTAGTTGAGATATTTCCTATAAGTGGAATAATACAATATTTGTCATTTGTGACTGAGTTATCTTCCAAGTAATAAATTATCTGTCCAGTCTGCTGTCAAATATATCCACTGGTTTATTTTATTTATTGTATATTATATTCCTTGAAGTTCTGTTTATCTCTTTTTCAACCTGTCCTATTTCATGATATGCTGTCCTAGTAAATATTTTCATGTTTGTCATTTGTTTCTTAAACATGGTCAGAATAATTTGAAGTTCTACAAAAAGTAATGGAAAAATCTGTACAGATAACTTGGTTATTTGATTTCTTAAAAAAATCTTTCTCATGTGATTTTATTTACTTGATTATCTGGTAATTTTTGATTCATGACAACTCGCTGACTTGAAAAATGAATTGAGTGGCTCTGTTCTTCTGTTTGCTTTTGCCAAGCATGTTATGGATGGTCTCACTTGGGGCTACATTAAATCAAACAAAATTTGAGAGTTCCTGGTTCGTTCAAACTATATAGTCCCAAGGTACAAACACTTGTGAAGAGCTGTCAATGGTTACAGTCTTCCAGTGATGAATCCGTTTCTTTAAATATGTATCCATCTCATTCTCTTCAGTACCAACACAACCCACTCTATTGTCCCCAGAAACCGGAGAAAGAAAATAATGACTGTTGATCTGGTTTACTTACCCTCTCCCTCCTGAGTTCAGACTCTGAATCTTGACCTCTTTTTGTGCTGGTGTGGCTACACAGCACTGATGATCAAACCACAAACCGAACTCATTGCCACCGAGTACAGAATGACTCATAGTGACCCTGTAACACGGTAGAATTTTCCCTGTGGGTTTCGGAGACTGACTCTTTACAGGAGTGGACAGCCTCATTTTTCTCCCAAGAAGTGGCTGGTGTTTTTGAATCGCTGAGCTATGTTGAGCAGCCCAGCATGTAACCACTATGATGCCAGGTCACATAATAGCTGTAATTCCCTTCTTTCAGATCCTGATGTCGTAGGGCTGGGATTGTGTCTGAAATCCGACATTCCTGCCGAGTAGTGGAGGATGCCGGTTCTGCTCACCATGGAGCACATTTGGGATACACAATGGACACAACCATAATGTGGGCACATGTGAACAACAGCCAAAGAGAATGGCATGGGTTATGTATCGGAGTGGTGGACATGATTGTCTTAGCACTGAATTATACATTTGGGTGGACAAAGTGATAAAACCCCATGGGAGGTCCAGCTGGCTAGCTGAAAAGAATGGAGAAGGTGGCATATCAAGAATTTATACCTGTGTGATTCTTCTTATAGGAGACTCTTTTTTTTTTTTTTTAACATTTTCACCTACTTCTTTTTTTGGGGGGGGGAGGGGGTTTCTAATAATTTTATTAGGGTTCATACAACTCTTATCACAATCCATACATACATCAATTGT